TTGAGATGCTACAGAAACCCCCGAACCACCAAAGATTGCGCCACTAGTGTCTGATTTAAAGAAAAGCTCCCCGATTGATGACGAAAAAATCGAGCCCGCTTTTGATACAAAAGTCGCACCAGCAATGGACTTTCAATTAAAAATTGATCATCAAGCGGCAACTTTGAGTTCTTTTTCATTTCCAGCACTCAATTTAAAACCGCTATTTTCTATTTCTGTAGCATCTCAAGAGATCGCGAAGCAAATTGTACATTCAACACCATCAATCGAAAGTAGGACCATTATTGAGGAGCTGCCGACAAGCTCTCTTCTAGAAGACAAGCCCAACACTCATCCTAATACTTTGCATATCGAGGAGGTCAAAAAAATCATCGAGCTTCCAGATGAGGGTGCTGACAAAAAGTTGCAGGGGGACACTGACAAATTTGACGATTCCACTAAAGTTGAAGCAATTCAAACGCCCGCTGAAAATACATCCCTTTCAAACGACAAAGTACCTATCGTGGGAATAGCAGAGGATGCTGCTTTGAAATTCGGCTCAATTACCTTAGAATCAATCAATGACCCTTTAAAGAACAAACCAAATCCCTTTGATCAAATGCATGCTTCTATTTTCCCGAAATCTAGCCCTATCTCTTCGGTATTCACTTCCGCTTTAAGTTCAACCAGTTTACCTGCTGAAAGCCAAAAGATTGAGATGCAAACCAGCCTTAATGCCTCAGCACCTATATCCAGTTCCACCTTTGGTGCTTCTTCGTTTGGAGCACAATCTTCCTTCGGAAATACCACAGCACTTGGAACTTCACCATTTAATAACTCCTCCTCCTCTTCTTCTTTCCCTTGCTTTGGAGCCACCACATTTGGAACTTCATCCTTTGGAACTTCGGCAACTGCATCGAACCCATTAAATTACGGCGGTTCTACATCTTCTGCCTCATTTTCAAGAACACCAGTCAGTAGTGAAGGAAGCCAATTCGCGGCCTTAGCTTCATCACAAAATTCGACAATATTTTCAACCGATAATTCAGAAATTACCTTAGCACCATTTATTCCATCGCATACTATCAATGTTGCTAAAGAGGTACAGAAAAATCCGTCAAATAAGCCATCGTCTGGTTTATTTACCAAGTTCAGGGACTAATAAATAACTTCCACTCTCTATTTAAAATGAATCTCAAGTAACTGCACATTAAAACCTGGATCTTATTCTTGGCTGCTATTGTTTAAAGGAACGCTTAAACGTTAGGATTATTATGCTTTATATTTTAATAAACGAAATTATGGAAAGGTACATTTAATCTGAGCGGCTTTGGGGTGAGAGTTCCCGGTATTAGGTTTTAATTGACTTTTAATCTTACAGCGCGAGAAAGCCCAAGTTTAGCCTATCACTATGTGTTATTTCATCATAAAAACGGAATTATGGCGAATGAGATACTTGACGGTGCGAAGAGCCATCAACTGAGCGTGGGATTGGCCAGCCAGCTCAGTATTAGACGTAAATCAATAGATGTCAGCAGTTCAATGGTTCAATCAAAAACCGAAATACTTCCAAGGGTGCTAATTAATGGATTCATGCTCTGAAACTAAAAACAGCAACCACAGGATGTGGTGTTACAAGTTTAAATATGTAGATTAATTTAGCTCGATTAGATGAATTACTGCTGAAAGTGCATCAGCAGTGTGCAAAATCTAAAGAAATTCTCGAAAATATTATATAGTGTTCGATAGGCGCTGTTGAAGGTTATGAAGCTTATCGTTAATCGGTGGTGAGTTTAACCACACAATTTTAGGTCATTTAATTGCCATATTAAAATTTAAACCTTGTAAAATGTAGCAAAATCTCGGCACGTTTAAATGCACAATTTGTCTTTACTCGATTGGTGCAAATCAGGGGCCAATAATCCTCATTGTAATAATATTAATTAAAAATTTGCAATTTATGCTATCCATCTACACTTTTCTTTGCTTAAATGAGTATCATCAATAATTTTATCAAATTTGGGCTCTTTTTAGCTTCTCATGTTTTTGTAGACTAAAAATTACAAGTAAAAAATATTTTTGAGCTCATAGCAGGCGATTTGAAGAACAAAATCGAGCCGATACAAACAAGGCCTTGAATACGATCTTTTTGCTTTCTAAGAAAACTTTACTCAACGAAATATACGCCATTAACTCAGACTTCTACGATAATATTATGGATACAATCATATAGGCCTCTAACTTTGATCCATGTTCTATTTATGGGAAGATAAGGGCGTTGAAAATCTTGCCATCCAATACTGACTTAAAGGTCTTTGGAGATGAGACAAACTTTGTCTTTTCTAGTGTGAACCTACAGAACATTCAATTTTGGGTGAAATTTTCAAGGTCGTCTCTCTTGATCCCAAACATAATTATTTATGGAAGGTCCTCATTTAGAATGGTGGAAATCGGTTAGAATATCACCCAGGATACCAAATTGGCCCAAAGGAAAAATATTCACCCGTGGTCATATATGAGGGTTCTCGATTTCTTATCACTCAAAACTGGGTTGAAGCCGCATTGAATTTTGGAAATCATAAAAAGGTTATCACGAACTTCTATCCCAGACTTTTGGGCGATTTTCATCAATCAAAAGTAAAATATGACGTTTTTATTGATGCCTAAACAACAGAAACAGACAGGTGCTTTTTCATCGTACCATCGATATTTTACCTTTAAGCTTGTGAAGAGCGGATATAAAAAGATCTTTGCAGCTGCATTTTCAAGTGTCATGCAGCATTTTGTATCTCAAGAATCCTCTTATTTTGTTCCAGAATCAAATCTGTCCAAGTATTTCATTTATTGTACATGGAAATCAAGCTAGTCAATTAAAATGCACGAAGAAGCCAACAACTTTATCTATAAAGCATTTTTATCTGATAAGAATGTATTGAACGAGAAGAGAAAGGTTTACTTTTTAATATGGAATGTCGATCTTGCCGATATGATGTTCAAATATCTGGTTGAAACGAAATAGTATGCCTTTTTGGGCATCTACAAGTAGTTTACGACAAATTCCAAATTGTCAAGGAGAAAATTATTTTCGACGCCGTTCCTAAAACATAGTAGATAATACAGGCATAAAAACATTTTTTTCAACATGATTGGAAGCATGTCTGGCTCGAATTTCACGAAAAGCTACCCGCTAATGAGACGTTTTATTGAGAGCTTCCCCATTTCGAGTATGAAAATGGAGCTTATGATTCTGGAAATTTCAATGAATTTTCAAATTCGATTTTTCATTTTTTAAGTAACGAAATCGGATATCAGCAATGCTTTATGGGCAAAGAAATTTATCTGATTTCATATCTGGATTCGCTGAAATTTTGGGTCATACTGATGCTAAAAAACTGTGCGTCATCTTGTGTCGATAAAATGTGCTTTCTTTGCCTCTTTTTCACCAAAATACTGGATTTATTGGACTATGAAAGTCATATGTTTATCTACCAGAAGAATATCATTTTGGTTGCAATTTTCTACACCTACAAAGAAAGATACACCCGACATTTAAGGACCTCTTTAAACAACAATGAGTTTGATTTTGATTTTATTTACGATTCGCTATTAGACAAGCCATCACCCGCTTTTTGATCTTTGAATCAAATTGATATTCTAAAAAGGACGCTACCATGCAATTTCAATATTTTTTCCCTTCTTTTGAACAATATCGGGGGTTTCTCTAAATTGTTTTCTTTATTGTTTAAAAACAAAACATACTGTGTGCTTCCAGATGAAGTGGAAAAGTCTTTAAAATTTTGTCTGATTAATAATCACTGAAGCGATCCTAATTATGAGGCATCTCATTATATAATAATGGCATATATTTTAACAGCAATTGCGAACCCTATTGGCGCCAAGAATTCCAATAATACTGTGCTTCCGAAAACCTACTTACTTGATCGAAATTATTACAATTTCTTGCACATTCTTTGTAAAGTATCCTGCTTTCGTACACACGGTTTGCTTGTTTCAGAGCCAACACGTATTTTGAGTATTAAACTTTCCATTAATACTAGGCGAAATTTCCACCTAAAAGCAGATGGTTACACAAAAACTCTATAAATTTCATCACCGTCGGCGAAGGAAAAAGACCTTTGCACTTGATCAGTCTGGATCACACTTTTTTCATTGTTTCTTATTTTCTGAATTATTTACAAGAAGATTCTGCTTTTGCCTTATCTGATGGTGGAATGAAAACAATTTATGGCTTGTTGCTCAACCGATTGGCACCTATTGAAAGGCTTGTAAAGATCCTGCCTCGATTTATCCAATATTTTTTGTTCCGGATCAATAGAATTTTTAAAATATAGAATACTCTAGATGGTAAGGTCAATGAGGCTCTACCTCTGGCTATGCGATATTTTTTTCTTTGGAAGCATAAAACCTACCAAGAAATTTCCATACATAGCAATCACACTGAAAGGCTTAGGCTTTTAGCCAATTATCAAATCATTCTAAATCGTTTGATGTCGATTGAAAAAATCGAGCTCTACATTGGCGATTTTGAAAACGGTTTCTTAAGCGCATTTGAGCCAATTTTTGCCTTTATCAGGCTTAATACTTTGGTACTTGAGGGAAAGTTTTTAATCTGTCCAATAGCCATCACTTCTATTTTCGGTGATATCTACTTTTGAACTCATAAAGTGGTTCTTTTTCAAGGACGAAACTCGCTATGTTCTTGGCATGTATTACGATCATTGGAAGCTTCCCTCCTCTAACTCTAAATGCGCACGCCAAACAGAAAAAGGAATCCAAAATTTGGCCAATGGAAATATTCTGGTTGATGGAGAACGGATACAACTTTCGGGGTTTCCATTCAGCAACCAGCGTTTATGGAATATTATGAATTTCTCAGAAACGATAATTATAAGCTAGAAGCTACGCTACCTCGGCGTCAAGATGATAAATCAATATTCCGGATGCTCAAATATAACAGCATGCATTTCTTTGCAAATGCAAGCGATGCTTTTTTAGTAAAGGATGATGAGAGTTGCATTTACATTCATTTCTCTCGGCCTCGCGGCTGCAGCCACCTACCGCTTACGGAAAATGTAGCAAAATCATGTAGGCGCTGAACAAAAGGAAAAATGAGATAAATCAACAACACTTGCGTTGCAAGTTGGTACTCGTGACGTGATAACGACTGCTCAACCAAATGTCACTAAAGGTGGAAGCTTGCGTAAACCCGATGGCAACTCAGCTTCTGCTTGCCACGCTGGTCTTGTTGAGACCGCTGTGGCAGTCATATTCTTGCTTTTTCTAGCAGTAGAGCGAGGATGATGCCAATTTTTTAATAAAATAAATAAATCAACACCCTAAGCCTCGGATCTTTTTGAATACTGGAATAGATTTTCCAATCCGGGTTCTTAAATTTTCGGTTCCACAGCAATTTTCAAGATCGAGTTTTTGGGGCATGTAGCCGTTTTCAGGTAGTTATTTCAGAATGCTTGCCGTATTCATTCAATATAAAGCGCATCACATGCGCAGCACAGCCGCACTACTAAGTAACAAAGTTTAGAATTTCACGATGCTCCCGAAACTTGGCTCTACATGGCTGCAAATTGTACACGACACAAGGTAAATTTAAATTTTAACCCTAATGTAAATCAACCAATCAAAACGAATGTTGCAATCCGTTGCTTCAATCTGTTGTTAGCTTCAAGTCCAAAACACGGGGAAGGTCAACTCGTATGAAATCAATATGGGTCTAGTAATCCGCAGAGCAGATTTCATATAAAATTTAGGATCGTTTGACACCATATCAAACGCAGTTCTAGTGATATCTGCAAATCAGATGCGCGTTCAAATTGCAGGCATGAGGAAGGAGCCCGCGCATGCCAAATGGGATCCAAAGAGCTCCCCCGCCCCATAATGGCATTATAAGATTATTATTTACTTTATTATATTAACAGTTAATATCGACAGATGAATTAATTGTCAAGATACGAAGCATCATCATCAGAATCTGAGGGATCACGGCGACGTCTGCGACTGTGTTTTGAGCCAGATGGGTGCTTTTTCTCATTTTTGGAGACAGTGGAATTAGTTGAGGAGACTTTGGATTCAGTCTTTTCAGTTTTACTCTTGGAACCAGAAAATGAATTGACACTTGCTTGTAGAGCCTTGAGGGAGGCCAGTTGAACAAACATAGACATAACGACAGGCTGGATTTGCGAAACGGAGGGGATGAGCTTCATGAGCTTTTCCTTGGACTTGAAGATAGAAGGATCGATTTTGGAAATGTCGGGAAGCAATTTAGATATCCCATTTTCAAAGACTCGAGAGGCTTGTTCCAAGGCTGTATCACTATATCCTATCAAAGGAAGGATTCCATAAGCTATTCCCTGCCCCAAGTATTTTGCAATCGAAAGATCGGTATGCTCCATCCAAGCTGACAAATGGTCAAAAATGGCAACAAGGTCATCAATAAGTGGCCCTCCAATTGAGGGGGCCAAATTTACAACTAATAAAAAGAGAGACTCGAAGATCGAATAAAAATTTCTTCTTATTGCTTCAAACCCAGATAGCTCTCCTGACGTGATGGAATCAGTGGTTCTAAGGATGAGTTCAATTCTTTCCTTCGGAAGCAGCTCTTCAAGCACAGGGGCAATATTGGAAACGATGGGGTCAATTGCTTGCGTTGCAATGAATTTCAACATTTGAGAAGCTACTGTGGGATCAACGAACCCAGAAAGAAAGGCGTCTAATGGAGAACCTGTCTTGAACTTTTCTGGTGTCTTCAAAGGTGAAGGCTTTGCATTGGGTTTATCTTCAACATTTGCTGGCTTTTGTTGATTTTGCGTAATTGGCGTGTCTTTCTTTTCCGCTGGTTTCGAGCTCCCTGTAAATTTGGGCACATTTTCCGAAGTGGGATTTGTCTTTTTAAAAATAGAAAAGACCCCTGGAATGGATGAATCTCGGCTGAATATATTCGAGTATTTTACAGTAAGAAAAAGCAGCAAAAAGATCATCAATAAAATCGTAACCAAGTTCTTTAAAAGTCTGGTTTTTCTTGGACCCGTGGCCTTCTCATCCAAAGGCCTGTAAGAATACGTGGGGAGGGCAATATTTTGATCGATTCGAGCCATATTGTGTATAATAAGTAGGATGGGATGGTTTTCGATGCTAACAAGAGTTAAAAGGGTGCAAAAGAATGGCCACTAGATTCTGCTCAACAGGTCAAAATGTGGACGAACCAAATGCAACGCAAAATTTTTATCCAATTGGCAATTTAATGCAAATGACCAATTATCTTAAAAACAGTGGCCCTTTAAATTTTAAGCATTGTAAAGTTAAATTTTAAATTTATGGTAATTCTGCCGTCCTTTGACGCTTAGAATGTCACATGTAAATATTGTAGAACCCTTTTAGCGGAGCACAACAAGTTAACGCACACGGTAGCAAGGTCATTTTAATTTTAGAACGCTTCGGACTGTTGCTCGCATTTTTTCATCGAAGATAGGCCTTCATGGCTTGACTCATATGAGGATGTTGAGGGAAAAGTAATTTATTGCAGTGATATATAGTTTCGCTAGCTAATATGTCCAGGGTGTAGACATAAGGTTGGCCAGTTCAATTGGGGCGGTAAACACACTTTTTGATGATAGGGATTTCCTGCTGCTGTGGAAAGTGGATCGTCCCCGGCTTTGCATTGCTGAAAAGCCGAGTTGACCAAATGAAAAATGTCTCTATGACGTTCCACTAGGTGGTTGCAGTAAAGGCATGTAATGTATGTGCCACCCATTTTGAGGTTTATTCAAAATTAAAAAGTAACAAAAATGCGTCGAAAAGACGGCATGCACAGCTATGTTGTCTTGCCGAGTTGCCTTTTCATGGCAAGTCTTCGCTCCGCTTGATAAAGAAAAGCATCCAGCAGCGACGCGATGGTATAAATGCCACCAATGATGGCAAATAATTGTGCCATAAAAGACAGCCATGAATAGGCATTTTGTTCAGAGTATAGAATTATTAGTGGAGAAATGTCTATGTCAAAGAATACACCTACAGAAATAGCATAAAATAGAAAAAAATACCGGGAAGACCTCCAGGTGGCTTGTTCGTCGAATGGGCAGTAGCTGAATATTGATGTGTGGTGATAGATGCTCCAGAAAGGGATTTTATTTCGGTGGAAACGACTTTGGCAGTGTACAAGAAGGCCATGTCGTCTATACTAGTAAGAAAATATATCAATACATGAAGATGCTATCTTGAGCGTTCCCTCCAACGGATTGGAAATAAGATTTTTTTTTATCTCATCATCTGAGCTGACAGTATCACCCATGTCCATGGAATAGCCCTCAACAGAGTCGAAATACAGTTTATCGATGCGATGCGATAAATTAAACCTGTAATCGTCAAATGGTCGGAGGTCATGTAAATGGGCGCTTTCTATTTGGAAAGAAACACCGGGGGCAATGTGAATATTTCCTGGGATTCTGTTGACCCTAGCATAGCCATGAAGGCGGCAACCTTCTCCCTTTCTGGTGGCCAGAAGCTTCGATATGCTCTTACTGGGCAGGCACTGTGCACATCAGCTAATTTCACAAAATACCTGCTCAAATGTGGTAAGCGGCGGAAGTGGAATTCCAAGCCTCTTATACGCGCCAATGACCTCGTCGCAGGTGTTGCAGCAATTGATTCCAAATGGAGACTCGGGAGATAGCTCCGTGCCTGCGTAACAACTACCACAGCCATTTTCTGGAAAACTAGTCTCTTTAAACGAGTCAATATTGATGGAATTTTCCCCCAAAAGCTGGTCTGCAAGAGGAATTCCGTTCGAACCGATACGGACTTTTTCAACCGATTTTAAGATGTTCATTTGATGCTCCCCAGCAACATCAATCACGTCGAGTCCAATAGCTATAATTTAAGCGGCGAAATAACTTACTCATACATGGAAGAGCTGGAAACGTAATGTCAAAATGGAGGATCATCTGTTCCTTGTGCTTCGTATCGACCATAATCTCGGATTCCCAAGTAACCTTTCTGAAATTGATAAAGCAAGCAACCAATAAAAGGAAGCATAGGATCATTGAGACAATTGAAACTGAAGATAAAATGAGTTTAATAAACAAACCTATCCCGCCAAGGGCAGTTCTTTGCTTGAAATCATCATTCGGCTTGGCAAATAAGTCAAAATCAATCAGCCCCATTACAGCAAAGAAAATTTGGTGTGCACGTTGGACGTTTAATTTTAATTTTAATTTTAATTTTACTTTACATGTTCAATTGACAAAAATTTCATCCAATTGGAAGCCATGAAAATCAAATGCATAATAAAAAGCTAATGTTGAATTTAATGCTGCGTTACCACGAGCACAAGAATAAATTCTCGCAGCCCGGGACTTTGTCTCTACTAGATACCTATAGCCTTCAACTGACATCAAAAGATATGGGGATGCTATTATTGCGCTTCTATTAAAAAGACCGGGCGGTATTTTTATTGCGCTCGATTTATTGACTAATAATTACATGAGTGAACATAGCCTTTTCTTTCTCTTGTATGCAGATCTTCTGCTGTAAGAGGACTGCATTTTGGGGGGCTGTATTGCGACCATGATGGCTTCATCAAAAACATCTTTCAATCCATCCTGCGTCAAAGCAGAGCATTCCATGTATTTGACGGCACCTACTGTCTTAGCTAGCCTAACACCGGCTTCAGTCTTGACTGGTGACAGTCTAAATTTTGCAAGCTGGTCGAGAGTGTCGCGATCATTCCTCAAATCTGATTGCGTTCCAACAAGAATTGCTGGCGTATCTGGGCAATGGGATCTTATTTCAGAAATCCACTTTTCCTGTATATTGTCAAATGATGTGGGTGAAACGACAGAGAAACACACAATAAATACGTCCGTGTTTGGATAAGACAGGGGGCGTAGCCTGTCGTAATCTTCCTGGCCTATTGATAAGTTGGATAATGACGAGTAAACCTGCTGTATCGAATAAAGCAAATGTGTAGGGCTCATTTTCTACATGCACCGTTACGGCATAGTTATCAAACACCTAAAAAAGCTCGTAAAAACACAAATCGTACTGTTGGGACATATTCAGAAGGAAATCGGTTGGTAGTGTATGAGATCAAAAGGCACGTCTACAGTTAATACGCCTCCGGTAAATTACCTTCCCCACTGCACCATCCCCAACAACGACGCATTTTATTGTCTGCATCAGCCTATTAACTTTAAATAAAAAAATAATTTTTCTAAATTTTCAATTTATGCCGCAACTTTCTCCTGCCATTCTGTCTGGCACTGCATTGGCAGAGTACGCTTCAATAAATTCAAAATTTTAGGAATGTTTTGGCGACATTAAAATTAAGAATTGAACATCTTCGTAATCTGCACGCAGTTACTTCCAAATTGGCGATCGTCAATGTTGGCACGAATCCAGCTTCGGCCAAATACATTCGCGCAAAGAAAAAGGCAGCTGAGAAAGTAGCTTGGTGTTTGACCATTAGATAGGTCTATCGTGTGAAATCCATTGGCTACATGCAACAGAATCGCCCTTGAAAACCATCATCAGCTTGAATGAGAGGCCGGATGTTCATGGAATTTTACTCCAACTCCCGCTGTCCGACTCGATTGCAACACCAAGTTCGTTCTTTTGCAATGTTATCTCACCAAAAAAAGACGTCGATGGGTTTGATTCTATTTTTGATCTTTAAAGACTAACAGTACAAAATATTGGCTTGCTTTATGGTTCGAACTATGGGGAGCCGTTTTTTTACCCATGCACGGCCAAAGGTTGCATGCTTTTGTTGCAAAGCCATTTGGGCTCCAAAGATTTTGGAGGCCTGCACGCCGTTGTTATTGGACGGAGCAATATAGCGGGGAGGCCGATCGCTCAATTGCTATTGAATTCAAACGCCACCGTTACCATTTGCCATTCAAAGACGAAAGATCTTAAAAAACATGTATTGCCGCTCCCAAAAAGCTATATGTAGGTGATGCAGGCTGACATTCTTGTTTCGGCCACTGGAAAGGGGCATTTTATCCCAGGATCTTGGCTGAAATCCGGCTCTGTCATTGTTGATGTAGGTATTAATGTTTGCCAAAAGACAGGTTCGTTGATCGGGGATGTTTGCTATCAAGAGGCCATAGGGCGAGACATTGCAGCTATTACGCCTGTGCCAGGTGGAATAGGCCCATTAACGGTTGCAATGTTGATGGAGAATACCGTGAACGCCACTGAGGAGTCAATAAAAAAGAATCTCCACCATGTGGGATTTTGAATATTTAGAATCTGAGCATTTCACGCGATTTAATTAATTAATTTGGTTATGAGCTTCCCTTCCATTTGTGTCCGAAATAACCTRAGCGAATATATCCGGAAATTAGATGAATTCCGTGCAAAATATGCGCTGTCTAAAGATGAATGCAATAGAAAAAGGTAACAAGCAGCCTTTTCATGCAAAGAGAACACGACAATCGGATTTCGCTGCTATCCATAGCCGAAATAGAGGCCAATTTCAGGGCGCTAAAAACATCCAATGCCTTGGATGGACACGCCAATTTGCTTAACAGAAATTGGCAACCTGCGCAGAGTCCAAACTTTGCCTCTAACAAAGAAGATGCCGTTGTTTATAGCCTTGACGACGATATGGATTGGATATTCAACGAAGACGCAGAGATAACTAAAAGCATCCAAAGTGTGTCCAATCCGTTGGGTTCCTTCTCATTAGCTCCACCCCCCAAAAATGCACCTTCTCCTTTGCCTTCTAATCAATGCTCCCCTGCTCCATGTTCTGATTCTGCTTTTTTGGATGAATTTTCCGAAACGGAAAGGAACCTTCAGCACCCACATAAAGGTCCTATTAATTGCTTCATACCCAATAGGCCTTTTCAAAAATTCTCCCATCCTGCCATCAAGAAATAATTTAAGAGGCATTTCACAGAACGATGGGTTAGCCTTCGATGGTTTAGCCTTCGATGGGTTAGCCTTCGATGGTTTAGCCTTCGATGGGTTAGCCTTCGATGGTTTAGCCTTCGATGGGTTAGCCTTCGATGGTTTAGCCTTCGAT